GAGGAGGAGGGGGAGGAGGGGGGCGGGAGGGGGAGGAATAGAGCTTCGAGGTAAAGAATCTGTATCTTTGATTCTTTCGTCTCTTCGCATCCGGCATGATGCACGCGCTTTTTAAAGGTCTTTATAAGTTTCGAATACTTGAGTGATTTTAGCCACGGGAGCGTGGTGGTTAGTTTCTTTGAATTACATGTCCCCGTCCTCTATCATCACTCTCTACACACTATATACCCGCCCCTGCCACAATCTACCTTGATCCTGATCGTACAACTTTAATTTTCAAGATGCTATTTCCTAAACCTTTCTTAAAGCCCACCTGTAAATGCCGTTCTTCGTGAGTACGTATCTTTCGGTTCTTTTTTGTTCCCTTTCTATTGTGTATCTGTGATTATATATAAAATATATTTTAATTTCAATGTGTACATACACGAGCATCTCCAGTGAAAGCAATACGAGTTCACGGCAAGAATCGGATTTATCAGAATCCCCGTGACGTCGGGTGATACTGTAAGATATTTGCGGGAAAAAAGGAAAACAGATCTTCCGATGGTGTATCAAATTAAGGGAAGTACACCGCTTCCCTGTTGGGATTCTTTGAATTTAGGATAGGGTTGTTGCTTTCTATTTTTAAAGCATGCGAAAGAAGGAAAAGAAATAACAGACATCCGATCGCTGGCAATATGACGATGAGACAAGATTGTTGGATATATTGAAGATCTTTTAAATATTTTTGTATTGTTACACATCATCCGGATGTGAGTCGTTCGTTGTTGGCTCTTTTTATTCGTCATATATACACTGTGTAATTCTTTATATATGTGTAGATACATATGTCTCGTGAGAAACCTTGCGTTCCAGTTTTCTATATTCGGCTGTAGTTTTAGCGTGTATCGCTGACGTAAAAGAAAAAAAAAAAAGCAAGGCGCATGTCATCCATACACAGGCATACTCATATCAACTTACACATTCACTTAGGGTTGGTCTTTTAATGTAACTTATGTAATGTGTGGCTAATATGTGTACAGGGTGGGGGGGGGAGGAGGATATAATATATGGTGATAAAACACGTTTCGATAATCCTGGGCCTTGAAGAGAAGAGAGGAAGACGTCATGATATACTCCGCCCCAAGTACTCCCCACTCCGTGCCACTATCGTTCTCGTCGAATAAGAGCGCGAGGCGATGTGGGCGTAGTAGCGCTCGGCGAATAGAAAGCTCGACGGGGCGGAGTTCTTCCTGTAATTATAAGGGAAGTCCCGTTCTGGCCCCTCCCATCGTCGACTGGCCCCGCCCACATGTCCCTTATTCTTAGTTTTGAACTTGAAATTTGACAACCTTGTTACACGCCGTTTTAATTAATGCTATGTGAAACTAACCTAATGTCCTCTGTTAGACCCGCCACCACTACCGCCATCACCACGGCCACCATGCGGAAGTATTATTTTTCTGTGATGGCTTGTACACTCTGCGTGTGTAAGATTTACTCTTTTTATTATATATAGAGGGCGCTGGAATACGTATATCTTTACTGGATTATATACGGTGATTGATCGGCAATCGATTTAATTTTAATCATCTTATCCAACGTCCCCGCCCCCCCCCCTGCCCGCCCCCAACCACC